CCCCCTGCGGGATCCAGAAAGGATTATCTCATCTTAAATGCAATGACGAGTTGAGCCGGTTGGCTCTGTGACATATTCTGATTCATTTATGATCAGAGCAGAATTTTTCCGAATTGAGCGGCGAGACCAAGATTGAGCCGCTGTTGTTTTGCGGCAGCTCCACTCGGACATGGACAAAGGCGACGGGTCCATCAAGTACATCCTGACGGGCGAAGGCGCTGGCACCACTTTCACCATCGATGACAGCACGGGCGACATCCACGCCATCCAGAGGCTGGACCGTGAGGGCAAGGCTCAGTACGGGCTGCGAGCTCCATAGCCTTGTCTAAAAAGAAGTGTTTTATTGCCATCTCCATACAATTAAAAATCTTTACCAGGAACGTCAGTGATTCAGCTGACCGCAACGGACGCAGACGACCCGACGTATGGCAACAGCGCCCGGGTGGTCTACAGCATCCTGGAGGGTCAGCCTTACTTCTCGGTGGACGCCAAGACCGGTACACGAGGCCCGTTTGCTGCAGGCCAAGGGGAGAGTTTCTTTTTTGGCTTTTGGGGTGGGCATAACCTCGCGGTTGTCTCCTCAGGCGTGGTGCGGGTCTCACTGGCCGACATGGATCGGGAGACCAGGGAGAACTACACGGTGGTCATCCAGGCCAAGGACATGGGCGGCCAGCTGGGCGGCCTCGCCGGAACTGCACGGGTCGACATCTCGCTCGGCGACGTGAACGACAACCCCCCCGTCTTTGATCAAAGTGAGACAACAGGCCACTCCTATTGTTCATCCCGGACAATTTGTGTCATCTGTCTGAGCGCTGAAGTTTCAAATTAGGATTTTTAAGAAAGGTTTTAAACAAGATGTTAAGCCAGGATTTCAAATGCGCGTTTTCAAGCAGGGTTAGAGTTTGAAAGTGGTTGGCTATTGAACCTGGGTTAGGATATCCATCAAGAGCCAGGATTTACACTAAATCAAAAAACAAACCTGTACAACAAAGGTTTTAAATACAACAGTACAGCATTGGAACCAAAAAATTGGACTACAAAGCAAAAAAATGTTATTTGGACTTCTTTTCAATACAAATTCCTTTAAAAGGAGCACTCTTACTATTGTTCTGTTGCGTTTTTATTTCACCCCATCGAATTTGTTTTCCCTCATTCGTCTTCCTGTGTGGAGGATTAGCTCCCTCTGGCGGTGGTTTATAGAATGACCGGTGCACCTGTGCGCAGGGTTGTACCAGATGAGCGTCCCCGAGTCGGCCTCGGTGGACTCCGAGGTGGGACGCATCTGGGCCAAGGACCGAGACGTGGGCGTCAATGCCGACATGACGTACAGTGTTATCGACGGCGACGGCAGAGACACCTTCGGCATCGTCACCGACCCCGGCAACAGATACGCCATCATCACCGTCAAGAAGGTAGGGCTCCGCTTTTGAGTCAGCCAGGGCGTCAAGGCATAGTGTTTTAATCAAAGGTTGGATTTCCTGGTTAGGTTTCGGGTATCAAGTATGGAGCAGCTACAGTTGGGGTTTTAGATTTTGGTTTCAAGCCATGATTAAGGTTTCAAGTTGGGGTTTCAAGCCTGTATTGAGGTTTCAAATGAGGGGTTTACACTCTTGTAACGTTTTTGTCCGTCAGCCACTCGACTTCGAGACCAAGCGCAGTTACACGCTCAAGGTGGAAGGCGCAAACATCCACGTCGAGACTGCCTCTTACTCCTCCTCCTACTCTTGCGCGTCTAGAGGGTGACGTATCCCGTGATTAGTCAGGCGTAATGCTGCTTACTTACCAACAGAGGTCGCCGTTGCATCACGTCATCTCGACAGGTGCTCCTTTGTGTTCCTCTCCTCCTCATCCCTTCCAACTTTCAATATCCTCCTACTCCACATAATTTTCCTGAACAGAGGTCGCCGTTGCATCACGTCATCTCCACAGGTGATGAGCGTTCTCCTCCTTTGCGTTGTTCTCCTCCTCATCCCTTCCTACTTTCAATATCCTCCTACTCCACATAATTTTCCTGTTCCTCGTTTTTCTTTTCAGGTACTCTTTGGACCGTTCCAGTGACCCGGATAAGTTTTTCTACGTGGACATCACGTCTGGAGCTCTGATGACATTGCGTCCGCTGGACCGTGAGCAACTGGGCTGGCACAACATCAGCGTGTTGGCCATGGAGATGAGTATGTGCAGTGGGCGCCACTTTTGCCTTTCAGCCAAAAATGCAGCATCATAATACAGTTTTATTAGGTTTAAGACATGATTAAGGGTTAGGATTTTAAACAAGAGCGATACGATACCCGATATCAGTAGCCCAGCCCCTAACTTCAGGGTTTTTAACAAAGGCTCGTGTTGAAGCGATGGTTAGGTTTTCAAAATAAGACACCTGATGATTGTGCTCATGTTGTGCTTGTGGGGTTTTCCGTGTGTGTGTGTGTGTGTGTGTGTGTGTGTGTGTGTGTGTGTCAGATAATCCTTCTCAGCTGTCCAGCGTGGCCGTGTCCATCCGCGTGCAGGATGTGAACGACAATCCGCCCACGCTCAGCGACTCCCTGGAAGCGTTCGTCTGCAACGGCGCCAAGGCGGGACAGGTGGGTAACAAGTGCGCGCGGGCCAATCACGTCACCCGCTGACGCTCTGTGCCGTCATAGCTGATCCAGGCGGTGACGGCCGTTGACCCCGACGACCCTCCCAGCGGTCATCACTTCTCCTACGCATTAGCGCCGCACGCTGCCAACAATCCCAATTTCACCCTGCGGGACAACCAAGGTAAACACAAGATATACGAAGTATATATTTATTTCTATCGATATACTTTACCAATAAATTATCCAAATAATAGACAAAACAGATAAATATTACAAAAAAAGAGAAATAGAGAGATATAAATAGATAGTAAGTCTCTCCTTGCATGCTTAGACAACACGGCGTGGATCGTGACGCGTCGCGGCGGCTGGTCCCAGCGTGAGCAGAGCATCTTCTACCTTCCCATCACGGTGACGGACGGCGAGGCGCCGGTGCATATCAGCACCTCCACGCTGAGCGTGCGCGTTTGTGCCTGTGACCGCGACGGAAACGTCATGACCTGCAACCCCGAAGCTTATAGCCTTCCCGCCAGCCTCAGCAGGGCCGCGCTCATCGCCATCCTGTCCGCCATCTTCGTGCTCCTGGGTGAGTGATTTCCATCATACTCTAACTAAAAACTTTTTATTGAGCTAGCATTAGCTTTTGCGCTAATTGTGCTCACATTGCTATTTGCGTGTTGCGTCAGTGATGATCCTGCTGATGCTGTCGCTGAGGACGCACCGCAAGAAGCCGTACCTGAGCGATGAGGAGGAGAACGTGCACGAGAACATCGTCCGCTACGACGACGAGGGCGGCGGCGAGGAGGACACGGAGGCTTTCGACATCGCCGCCATGTGGAACCCGTGCGAGGTGCACCCCCACGCGAGCGAGACACGGCAGGACATGTTTCCGGAGATCCAGACTTTGTCTCGCTACGTACCGATGGCTGACGCCGGCAGCAGCGGCGTTCACGGCTACGTCCTGTCCAAGCTGCTGGAGGCCGACGTGGACCCGTGCGCGCCGCCCTACGACTCCCTGCAGACGTACGCCTACGAGGGCGAGGGCTCGGTGGCGGAGTCGCTCAGTTCGCTGCAGTCGGGTGTGTCGAGCAGCGACCACGAGTACGACTACCTCAACGACTGGGGACCGCGCTTCAAGAAGCTGGCCGAGATGTACGGCGTGCTGGACGCTAACAGTCCTCCCATGTGGTAGCAACACACACGGCCTTCAGGAACCTTCTGGAAAAAGCACAAAGCATCAAATGGATTGAATTCCGCTTAGACGGGCCTGGTTTTAACCCCACAGTGGCTTTTGGAGAAGTTGGTTACATCGTTGAGTGTCTCTAATACAGTGGCAACGCTCATGTCCTTCTCGAACCATCCAGAAAGAACGTAAAGACTGACAGCTTTTCCGCCTCAACGGGCCTGGTTCAGTGGGTTCCAAGGTCAAGATGTACAGCATACTGGACGCTAAGAATACACACAGCCCTTTCAGAGTCATCTGGAAAAAAAGCCAAAGCACCAGGAACCGACTGAATTACACCTGAACAGGCCTGATTTAACCATCCAGTGGTGCCTCGATGGGTGAGCTACATCATCAAGACTGTTGCAAAAAGTTGTCAATGTAGAGCATGCTGGAGAACTATCTGGAAAGAATGCAACATAGATTTGCCTCAACGGGCCTGGTTCTTTGCGTTCCAATATCCAGCCTCCAGGGAAATCGACATCAAGGCACTGGAAAAGAAGTGTGAATGAGTACTGACACTGCCACCGCCTCATCGGGTCTGGAGCTTAATTTATTACTCTAAATATGTTGATGCTAACTGATTTTTGGAGGTTATAAAGTCACGCTTAAAGGAGCCGGCCTAGATGAACGGCGTTCTTGACGAAGAGGCATTCACAAACACGGACCCAATTCCGCCTCGACGGGCCTGGTTGTAACCCTTTAGTGGCTTCCACATCCTGGAGAGCCAACTTCAAAGCACACATATACGAAACAGCGCCACAAAAGACGAAAAGATTCCCAGCAGAAAAACGCCGCTGACGCCTCGTCGGGTCTGGAGGAATATTTTTTTGTTTTGTATTTATATTGGAGCTAATTTATTGATGGACAGGAAGCAGATGCTCACTCACATGAGAAGTCTTCATGAGCGGCTTTCATCCGGGAGAACATCGTGCCAGTCCAAAGGCCCGCGCGCATCGACGGGGTCGACGACCTCATCGCCACCACGTTAAACGCCACTTGTCGCTGTCATCTGCATTAAGTGCCAAATGTACAAAAGAACATTTTTGGATTTTAAAACTAACAAGAGCAGCAAAAGAAAACAAACTGTGAGGGTGCTTTTTGATCTTTTTACTTGAACATATTGGGTTGCTCATGCTACGCCAAAGGTCGTATGCGAATGTCGGTACTTTTTTTGTATTCTTGGTAATAAAACACTCAAAAGCTGACTTGGTACCATGATTAAGTTCCGACAAATGAAGCAAGGCAAGGCTACTTTATTTAAAAATATCACATTTCATAGACAAGATAACTCAATGTGTTTCACACAAACCGAAAGCACACCGACAGTAAAAGCGTGAACAAACAGAACGCAAAAGACACATTCGCAAAGAAAAACGGTTTTTCACTTGCGTTTAAAAACATTTATACTGACTTTACGCTGATTTGTCACCTCGATTTGGAACTACACAGTTCCAAAATTGGATGCGGGCATGAAATCTGAATTCCAAAGTGGACACGGATGAAGAAACACATCACGTTTTGTCTTCTAACGCCACAATTTTATCGTCGACATGGACTCAGGTGACAAGTCACACAGACGTCCTTTCCCACTTCGTTGGGAGTCCAAGTCTCAAATCTTTGACTCACACACAACAACTGAACTCATCACGAACTAAACAACCAATCAGACAAGCCTGAGCCTAGAATAACAAAAGGGTGAAAGGAAGGACTGGATGAGGTCTTGGAAGTGTTTGTTTGGGAATGTTTCGTCTCCAAAGGTTGACCTCCGAAAAGGTCGTTTGGCAGGTCAAAGTCAACCCCGGCAGCGCTTCATCCGCAGGAGATGACAGTGAAGCGCTTGGAGATGCACGACATGTTGTGCAGCACGATGCCGAGCAGAAAGAGCAGCACGCACGCTACGAGCACCACCGTACACACGCCTGACCACGTGGACCCCTTGGCCGCCCCGCCCGCCGCCGGACCCCCGGCCCGCCGCTCCAACTCATCCTCGGCCTCCAGCTCCAGAAGGGCGCCCAGAGGTCGTCTCTCTTCAGGCACGGTAACGACCGTCACGCCCTTCTGCCCCCCGCCCGGCAGGAAGCGGCACGCCAGCAGGCTGGCCGCGTGTTCTTCGTCAGCGGGCAGCGGCAGCACGTAGCAGCCGCTGCCGGGCAGGCGGATGAAGACGGGCGTGCGCTCGTAGGCGCGCGGGATGGCCACGGCGCCCGCCGCGACGGGGTCGTCGGGCAGGTGGGCCACGGAGAGGCCGGGCGGCAGCTTGGTGACACCGCGGCACCACGGGCAGCGAATCTCCTTGTGGCTGCTGCGCATCTGCGTCAGGCACACCGAGCAGCACGTGTGGCGGCAGTCCAGCAGCTTTGGTCGCCGCCGGGGGCTGAAATAGTTGAAGCAGATCTGGCATTCCAGCAGGGAATCTTGGGAAAGAGTCTCCATGGCGGGAGGGGGGAAAAAAATGTCTCCCCGGTCCCTCAATAATTCGCTCTGATATCAATTCACCCCAAAAAGGGATTCCGAAAACGTCCTCGTCCTTAAACGGTGCTCTGCTGACGACCTCGATGGCGTCGCGGCGACGTCACGGCCTGCTGGCGGCGACATGCTCGTCCATCTGCAACAAAAGAGCATCAACGTTCAAATGAAAACCGGGGGGGGGGTTCGGCGATGAGCAGTGCACTGATTAATGCGACCTCATCACTTGATTGCGTTGTGAGAGTTTGTCCAAAGTGCTGACTCACGAGTTGGTGGCGAGTGAGCAGGAAAAAATGCAGAGTCACGACTCGGCCCGCTTCGACGGTCATGAAAATCATTTTAAGAGAAACAATCAAAGACGCACTTGCAAAGGCATTTTTTAGGAAAAGGGGGGGGGTCGTGTTCTCCCCCACCCCTTTGCTCTCATTATTCTTTTCCTCTACTCACTCATTATAGGACATCATTGCTCACCAATGCCACTCAACCAGTTTTTTGCATTTTGTGTGCCATGTATGTCTCCTACTTTTTATCGTGTTCATTATACGAGCATAACTCTAAAAATACATTTCATACGGAATAAAAGCGTCAACTTTTAGGTGGCAGATAAATGTTTGAATCCGGGGTATTGATGTGGGCGTCGGCGTGGCGTAAACATGACAACCGCTAATGGTATCTTTGGCCGCTAGGGGGTGCTGTTTAGAGGCCGGGTTGAAACAAGCAAACAGCGATGATGTCATTTGATTGATGACTTCGATCTGCTTTGTATGATGACCCATTTTAAACACACGCTGATAGACTGTGTATAAAAAAAAAGTTGTGATTGTAAAAAAAAAAAAAATGCAGTATTGTAGGGGGGAAATATAGTCACCAGTAGTTATATAGGACAGTTATTAATTTATTGTACTTTTTGTCCTCAGCAAGAGTATGAATAATTTCACCGGAGGGTAGTCATGACGTCATCATGTGCAGGTGGCACACACACACACCAGCAAGTTAACGAACACACGCGCACACACACACACGGACTCCCTCGGGGCATCCACATACAATCAGCCAAAGGGAAAGTGCACAAGTTTAAAAATAACCACCATGGCCGGCAGCATTGACACGCACACACAAACGCACGCGCGAACAAACACGGACACATTCACACTGGCCACGGGGTGTGAGGACGCAACAAAATACCTGCAAGAACAAGCGCAACTCCTTCTAATGTGAGACCCGGCACACAGCTAAAAATGTCAGGCAAAAATGTCACGCGAACCCCATCCGGCGCTTGGCGTGATGAAGGCGTGTTCCCGTTAGCACGCATGTCCGTGGCAAGAGCGAGAAGCTCCAACAGGAGGCGCTGCGTGCCCTTTAAGATAACAAGAATCAGAAGAAGGAGAAGGAGAAGAAGAAGAAGAAAAAGAAGAAGAAGAATGCAACAATGGCGGTCGATCAGTTATGAAAATGATGCTAATAAACATTAATTGCTGTACTGTATTTTACGGCGCCGCGTTTTCTCTTGAATGTTTCCCAAGCGGCTGCTCTACAAGGTCTCTCTCTCTCTCTCTCTCTCTCTCTCTCTCTCTCTCTCTCTCTCTCTCTTTCTCTCTCTCTCACACACACACACACACACAAGGCAAGGCATTATGAAGGTCATATAGTACAATAAAAATCCAACCGTAGGTCTGTGTGGTGTTTCATATTTAGCAGAGATTTACAAGATTGCTAGATTTGATAAACATTGCAAAATGTGGAAAGAGCTAAATTGGGTGCCAAACACAGACTTTGTTGGCAAATAAGCCTTAGGCTTCATTAGGGAGGGAAAAAAAATCAATTGGAATTTAGAGAACTAAATTTGCTGCCTAAATGGGCTGCAGGAGACATCCACTCAGGAATTAAATGTGGCGAGAGTTAAGTTAGCGCGTGAATCAATCTGCAATCAATGTGATGTAATCAGTCAGAACACAAAGTCCGACTGATTTCCGTCAACACACACACACACACACGCACACACACACATATATATCTGGGTGCCTTATCAAAGCACTTTAGCCCTCATGCTCGATCAGATTAGAGCAGAAGGTGGGTGCACTGATACCTCTGGAGATGTGTTTAGCACTTGCTTATCCTGATCATACTACAAAGACCAATAAAGTTTCTTTCATAGGTCACATAAACTGACTCATCGAGATTTGATTAGCTTTCTGGTCCAAAGTATCCAGCCAGGCCCAGACAGCTAATGTTAGTTTAGCTAAGACGTAAGCAAGAATAAATACTGTCAACGTACCGCTAACATGAGCTGATGCTGAACCTCTTTTTTAGCAGGTGAACGAAACAAATGAGCTGACGGCGTTGCTGCAGTTTTTCTGTTGCCGTGACAGGGGGATGCTGGCGTCATTTGCATTCGCCCAAGCAGCACTTGTGTGCACTCACACTTGATTAGTGGCGATAATTGATCGTAATCATCTCCATGTTGCATTCAGGCAACAGTTCACTGACAACACCCTTGCCTTCAAGTGGTCCAACGACACACAGTCTGCATCTCTTTTCATGGTCTTGTTGTACCTCGCATCCATCCATCCGTTTTCTCGAGCGCTTATCTTCCGCAGGGTCGCGGGTGAGTTTGACCCTATCCCAGTTGACTTGAGGCTGGTCGCCAGCCAATCAGAGGGCGCATATAGACAACTATTTATAATTTTGTTGGAGGAGGGAAACTTCTAAAATATGCAGCATAGGGACCCTCGAGGACCGGATTTAGTCATCCCTCATTTCGAGCCTTCATTGCACATGCATGTTTTTGGAATGTGGGAGGAGAAAAGCTACAGGGGGTACATGCCAACGACATCCATGAAGGTCAGAAACTGGATTTGACCCCTCAACCACCTCCCTCCCCCAAACTCAGACGTGTGAGGCAGTTGTGTTAAGCACTCCTCCAACATTCTGCCTCCTCACACACACACACACACACACACACACACACACACACACACACACACACACACACACACACACACACACACACAAACGCGCACACACACACGCGCGCCCGCACACACACACACACACACACACACACACACACACACACACACGTCTTCATCTCTATTCATAACATCGTCTGGTTGATTGCATTTCCTGGAGCAACATCCCGCCAATTAAAAGACTGAATGATTCGGTGCTCGCACGGTCGGGAGGCGGCCGGCCAGCGGGGTTTCTATCTCATTAGCGGCGTCATTGTGTCCCGCAGCGGTCGGGGCAGGAAGCCTTTTAATAACATTTTGTATCGCGCGTGCTTGCCAGCGATGGGCCGGCAAACCAGGTGTGAACACCAAAGTGGGATTAACCCACAATCCGAAAGAAACTGGACGAAATATGCAACCGCTTATCCTGATGAGGGCTACGCAGGCGTGCCGGAGTCTTGGGACAGCAGGCTGGGTACACCCTGAACTGGTTGCCAGCCAATCTCAGGGCACACATACACAAACAACCATTGACTGTTTTTTTTTTTTTTTTTTTTTTTTTATAAAAATAGCCAGCAGCCAATTCAATAAATACAACCCTAACAGGAAGTCACTTTCAGATTTTCTCCTCCTTGACAGCGAAAGGCGAACTAAACCATTTTTCTGGGAGCGACAACCGAACAGAGCAGTTCGATCCGGGCCATTCGTCAGCGCTTACAATCCGTCCGGCCAACTGAAACGACGACCATCGATCACGGCTGGCAGACAGAGCGCCGAACAACAGGAACACCCGCGAGACGGAGATTGATTCCAAGCGCCGTGAAAAGCGGACGCAGGGCGGGGTGCCCTCAGTTAACGTAGGGCGGAAAAAGAGCGGATTTAACAAAAAAAAAAAAAAAGAATAAATAAACTGAATCGGGCATGACGTCCTTGGTGCGAAGCTAGCACGTCGGACTGCGACATTTAGCTGCCAGGTTGAAAATGTAAATGCAATATTCTGCACAACTCGCCCTTATTTCCGCTGACGGCTTTCAAATCTACGGAGAGCTCTGAAATCCGCGGCAAATTCCGCGATGGCGGATTCCCGTGGGCGCTATCTGGTTTCTGCAGTCCAACACGAACGCGGCGGCGGCGAGTGGCGACGGACACGATCATAGTCAGACACACAAGCGAGCACGGTGGTGCGACTTCTCATCACGTTTGCGCGTTTGACGGATCTCAGCTCTGTTTCATTGCAGCCTGGAGAGGGGGGAACAAAATAAAATCTATTTTTGCATGCCTCATTTTCCCCATCTGGCAGGTCGCGGCCTTTTTTCTCATTAGTCAAGGTCAATGACGGTCAAGACGCTTCCAAAAAGAACTGGAACTGACTTCATCTTCATCATCATCGCACACATGACAGGGAGGAGGACCGAGATGAGCGGAAGGATTGCAGATCAGCCCCACTCTGACCTCAGTTAGCCTCAGTATCTTGATTCGACATCAACTATCTTCTTGCTCTGAGACACTGAAGCTTACAGATCAGCCGAGGCACTCCAAAAAAAAAAAAAAAAAATTTTTTGTTTTTTAAAATTTTTTTTTTTTTCCTGTGGTTTTTTTTTTTTTTTCTTGTTGTTTTTTTTTTTTTTTCTTGTTGTTTTTTTTTTTTTTTCTTGTTGTTTTTTTTTTTTTTTCTTGTTGTTTTTTTTTTTTTTTCTTGTTGTTTTTTTTTTTTTTTCTTGTTGTTTTTTTTTTTTTTTCTTGTTGTTTTTTTTTTTTTTTCTTGTTGTTTTTTTTTTTTTTTCTTGTTGTTTTTTTTTTTTTTTCTTGTTGTTTTTTTTTTTTTTTCTTGTTGTTTTTTTTTTTTTTTCTTGTTGTTTTTTTTTTTTTTTCTTGTTGTTTTTTTTTTTTTTTCTTGTTGTTTTTTTTTTTTTTTCTTGTTGTTTTTTTTTTTTTTTCTTGTTGTTTTTTTTTTTTTTTCTTGTTGTTTTTTTTTTTTTTTCTTGTTGTTTTTTTTTTTTTTTCTTGTTGTTTTTTTTTTTTTTTCTTGTTGTTTTTTTTTTTTTTTCTTGTTGTTTTTTTTTTTTTTTCTTGTTGTTTTTTTTTTTTTTTCTTGTTGTTTTTTTTTTTTTTTCTTGTTGTTTTTTTTTTTTTTTCTTGTTGTTTTTTTTTTTTTTTCTTGTTGTTTTTTTTTTTTTTTCTTGTTGTTTTTTTTTTTTTTTCTTGTTGTTTTTTTTTTTTTTTCTTGTTGTTTTTTTTTTTTTTTCTTGTTGTTTTTTTTTTTTTTTCTTGTTGTTTTTTTTTTTTTTTCTTGTTGTTTTTTTTTTTTTTTCTTGTTGTTTTTTTTTTTTTTTCTTGTTGTTTTTTTTTTTTTTTCTTGTTGTTTTTTTTTTTTTTTCTTGTTGTTTTTTTTTTTTTTTCTTGTTGTTTTTTTTTTTTTTTCTTGTTGTTTTTTTTTTTTTTTCTTGTTGTTTTTTTTTTTTTTTCTTGTTGTTTTTTTTTTTTTTTCTTGTTGTTTTTTTTTTTTTTTCTTGTTGTTTTTTTTTTTTTTTCTTGTTGTTTTTTTTTTTTTTTCTTGTTGTTTTTTTTTTTTTTTCTTGTTGTTTTTTTTTTTTTTTCTTGTTGTTTTTTTTTTTTTTTCTTGTTGTTTTTTTTTTTTTTTCTTGTTGTTTTTTTTTTTTTTTCTTGTTGTTTTTTTTTTTTTTTCTTGTTGTTTTTTTTTTTTTTTAAAAAAAAAAAAAAAAAATCAATTGAAGTCTCGCCCTGACACAAAACAAAACCTTGAAAGCTTGGAAACCCATCAAAATCAATCCGGTGAGAACATCCAGCGATGTTTGTCCATGCTCAATTGCGAGTGCTTTCATTTTGCGTTTGACTGTTTGTTCCTTTCAATCAACTTTCTTTTTTTTTTTTTTTTGGACCATTCACTCGAGCCACAGCAGAGTCGAAGGTTGCTTGAAACTCACCTTTTTGCTGAGGAAAAAAATTAATAAATAGATTAAAAAATAATAATAATAATATATATTTGAATAAATATTTTTAATGTTAAATAAATGCTTTGAAACAGCTGTCAATTTAAACCATTCAACAAGCCACAAAAAAAAGAAAAAAATTTGAATTAAAAGTGATGATTCACCGAGCCCAAGAAGAAGCTTCAATAAAAATAACATACGAATGATTCATTTTTCTGCTTATGATGATGATGATTCTGATCGTCATTGCCAAATAAACTTTTGACACCAGGCAAAAATCCTCCTCGTGTCAGACAGAAGAGGTATCTCAGTGTGGTTGTGCGCTTGTGGTTTTGCTTTACAGGACCTGCCCACTTCCCCCTCGTTCTGTGCCACTCAGAAAAAAAAAAAAAAATAGAACAACCACAAGACCACAAAGAGCCACACCAGAAACCA